AGTAGCTGGGACTACAGGCAGGCACCACCATGCCCGGGTAATTTTGTTGTGTTTCTAGTAGGGACAAGGTTTCACCATGTCGGCCAGGATGCTCTCGATCTCCTGACCTCATGATCCATCCACCTTGGACTTCCAAAGTGCTGGGATTACAAGCATGAGCCACCGCACCCACCCGGCCGATTTTTCTTGTGACCTTAATTCATATACTGACAAAAAGTACAGTATGACACACCCACTAGAAGAACTACAATCAAACGGACAATGACAATACCAAGTGTTGGCAAGGATGTGGAGAAACAGCCCTCATACACTGTGATGGGAATGTAAAATGGTACAATCTCTTTGGGAAACAATCTGGCAGTTTCTTACAAAGTTAAACATGGCCGGGCGGAGTGGCTCATGCCTGTAATTTCGGCATTCTGGGAAGCTGAGGCAGGTGGATCACAAGGTCAGGAGATCGAGACCATCCTGGCCAACATGGTGAAACCCCATCTCTACTAAAAGTACAAAAATTAGCTGGGTGTGGTGGCGCACACCTGTAATCCCAGCTACTTGGGAAGCTGAGGTAGAATCGCTTGAACCCAGGAGGTGGAGATTGCAGTGAGCCAAGATCATGCCACTGCACTCCAGCCTGGCAACAGAGCGAGACGACTGTCTCAAAAACAAAAAAAAGTTAAACATAATTTAACCATTCCAAGGAATTAACCCAGGAGAATGGAAAACATATATCCATACAAAGACATTTATGTAGATATTCATGACAGTATTATTCATAATAGTAGAAACTCAGAAATAATTCAAATGTCCATCAACGAATACATGCATATTTATATAGTGAAATACTATTCAGTGATAAAAAGAAATTAAGTACTGATACATGCTACAACTTGGATAAACATCAAAAACATGCTAAATGAAAGAAGCTAGTCATAGAAGACAATACATTGTATGATTTCCATATACATGAAATGTCCATGTATGTAGAGACAGAAAATAGACTAGTGATTGTCTGGGGGTGAAGCTAGAAATGGTATTAACCGCAAATGGGCATGAGGGATTTTTTGGGGTGGTAGAAATGTTCTGAAACTGGATTTTTTTCTTTTTGAGACAGTCTCACTCTGTCACCCAGGCTGGAGTGCAGTGGAACGATCTCAGCTAACTGCAACCTCTGACTCCAGGATCAAGTGATTCTCAGGCCTTAGCCTCCCAAACAGCTAATTTTTATAATTTTAATAGAGATAAGGTTTCACCATGTTGACCAGGCTGGCTTTGAACTTCTGACCTCAGGTGATCCGCCCACCTTGGCCTTCCAAAGTGGTGGGATTATAGGTGTGAGCTGCCATGCCTGAAACTGGATTTTAAAATGTTTTAAATCTACTAAAGTTTATAGTCTGGATACTTAAATAATAAGTTACTTTTGGCCGGGCGCAGTGGCTCACGCCTGTAATCCCAGCACTTTGGGAGGCCAAGGCGGGTGGATCACGAGGTCGAGATTGAGACCATCCTGGCCAATATGGTGAAACCCTGTCTCTACTAAAAAATAGAAAAATTAGCTGGGCGTGGTGGCATGTGCCTGTAATCCCAGCTATTCGGGAGGCTGAGGAGAATTGCTGGAACCTGGGAGGCAGAGGTTGCAGTGAGACCAGATCATACCACTGCACTCCAGCCTGGCACCTGGCGACAGAGCAAGACTCTCTCAAATTAAAAAAAAAAAAAAGTGACTTCCAGGATACATCAATTGTATATTTTTTACAAATCTGTTGAACCATAGTACAGTGAGGATTTCTCTACAGTTCAGCATCCTGCTGGAGCAAGAGCTCTTCCACAGGGTCAATCACAGCAGAAATCTTTGTGATTGTTATAACTAACCAACCCAGATTCCCTACAGGGCTGCTTTGGGGGAAGAGGAATGGGAATTGCCATGTAAAAAAATTTAATAAAGTAACAACTCATTAGAGATACAAAATGGTGATGAGAATTATCTACATTCCATTTACTACAGCAACAGTCCACAACCTTTTTGGCACCAGGGACCAATTTCATGGAAGACAATTTTTCCAGGGACTGGAGGTGGTGGGGGATAGTTTGGGGATGATTCCAGCACATTTATTGTGTACTTTATTTCTATTATTATATATAATGAAATAATTATACAATTTACCACAATGTAGAATCAGTGGAAGCCCTGAGCCTGTTTTCCTGCAACTAGACAGTCCCATCTGGGGGTGATGGAAGACAAGGACAGTTCATCAGGCACTAGATTCTCATTCTCATAAGGAGCACACAATCTAGATCCCTCACATATATAGTTCACAATAGTGTTCACCTCCTATAAGAATCTAATGCTGCTGCTGATCTGACAGGAGGTGGAGCTCAGGAGGTAATTTGAGTGAGTGTGACTGTAAATAAGATGAAGCTTTGCTCACTGGCCCATTGCTCACTTCCTGCTGTATGGCCCTGTTCCTAACAGACCACAGACCAGGCAGTGGCCTGGGGGCTGGGGACCCCTGTCCTACAGAAAATGAAGAAAGGAAATCTTAAAATCCAGAAGTAATATTTCTAGAATAATTACTATATATTTAATTATTTCAAAGGGTTGGAAAGGCAAGGAAAGGAGGGCTTTAAAATGCTCCCTCAGCCTCTGGCACACATGGCATACACAGAAGCTGGGATATCTTTCTGGAATATGCTAATTACACATGGGCATTTTTGTGCCATTTCACGTATCTATCTAACATGCCCTAACATCCACAAAACATCTCAATGAGGCAGGCAGAACAGGCCCATTATTTCTTTTGGCATGGGGGTCCAAAATTTTCTGTCTTGTCTAGAAACCATCCAGAAGCAGAAAAGAGGGAGGGAGATAGACAGAGATATATCTTTTACCTTAATTGTGACAGAGCTTCTTTCTTCGTATTTGCATTCACAGCGTAGACAGTATGCTTCTACATCAGGCCCCCGCACAGGCATGGGCTCCACAACATGAAGGCAATCACTGAAAAAGCAAAGATAAAATGCGACTTAAGCCCAGCTAGCTCTTCTGCTTGCTCTGATCAAAGCTTTCCTGAAATCCAGAATAATCATTAAACTTACTCAATGAAAAAGGATTAAAAAACAATAAGTAAAATAATTTCGCCTCAATATTAGCATTTTGGTAAGATTTAACCATTTAAGAAGCCACAGACACATATATAGTAATGTCTATTATCAAAGTTTAACAGTTAGAAAAATGCACCGGAAAAATCCCAAACGGGAAGAAAAACTACTTAACAAATCATCTTTAGACTTGCTCAGTTACTAAGCAAAACTACTTTAAACGGGTTAAAGTGATGTGGGGCATTGTTCAGATAAACAATTATCTCTTTTTTGAACTAACATCTTCTTTTTTGTTTTTTAAGAGACAAGGTCTCGTTCTGTCACTTGGGCTGTAGTGCAATCTTGCCATTATAGCTCACTGCAGCCTCAGATTCCTGGGCTCAAGTGATCCTCCTGCCTCAACCTCCAGTGCAGCTATGATTATAGGAGCATGCCACCATGCCTGGTTAATTTTTAAATTTGTTGTAGAGATCAGGTCTTGGTTTGTTTCCCTAACATGTCTGGAATACCTGGCCTCAAGTGATCCTCCTATCTTGGCTTCCTAAAGTGCTGGGATTACAGGTGTGAGCCACTGTACCCAGCCAACATCATTCTTAACTGCCAGTGTGGTAAATAAATGACTTATGTTTAATAGAGTGGTAAATTCTGAAACTCTGAAAATTGAACCCTCAAAGCCACACACAGGAAGAAACAATCACTTAATGAGCAAATATACTGAAAAAGCAAGGAGAAGTAGAATGATGATAAAAAAATTTAAAAACAAAAACTGGTTATTCCAAATAACTAAATAAAAACAAAAAGATGAATGCTTTTGTGGAATGTTACTTATTTCCCCTGACCCCATTTTCAAGGCTAATTATTTATGGTTTATGTAAACACAGTGCTATCAGAGTTTTCCTAGGAATCTGTCAAATCTAAATAATAGCTAAATTATTATTCTCCTCAACTATTAAGAGTCTACTACTCTGATCACCTTCAGCAAAAGTAGGGCAAGCCTTCATGTCCTCTTGCCAGCTGCTGGACAATTCTCTTACCTTTTGGTATCTCTTAGGCATTTCTGGCTGCCTCAAGCACTTTACTACACCATCCTATCTTATTTTACCCATTCTCTTGGGGACACCCAATCTTCTAGGCTGATTCCTTTGCTTTCCCTACCAAAATGTACTTTTTGGAAACAAAGTTACAGCCTGGTAGCAGGAGTAAGTCCTAATGTTCTACACCACTGTAAGATGACTATAGTTAATCATACATATTATAGTTTCAAACGGCTAGAAGGAAGATATTGAATATTTTCAACACAAATAATAAATGTGTGAGATGTTAAATATTCTGATCAAATCACTGTATCTTATATGTATTGAAACATCACTATGTACCCATACATATGTACAGTTACTGTGTCAAAAATTAATTTCTAGAAATTCATCTTTTCATGTTCTGTTGCCTCTGAACTGTGACATTAAAAAAATAACCAAAAATTGTACATGGTAAAAGTTGTTAGGTTATCCTTAACAGGTAATTTAATTCTAACAAAGACAGTAATGAAAAATTAAATTTCCACTGATCGTATTTCAAATACGGGTAAAGCTCACAACTCTCACCATAAATGTGTGTGATATCTATTCCAAATATACAGAAGACCAGGCATGTACCTAACTGGATGCAGGCACAAAATGGGCAGAGGGAACTATATCCCATAACAGGGGTTATCTGAGGATCAGAGCTCATCTAGCCTCACACTTAGAGAAGGTCACAGAGTAAATTCGTATTTGAAAAAGGATCAGGCCACGTACAGTGGCTCATCCCTATAATCCCAGAGTTTTAGGAGGCCAAGATGTGAGGATCACTTGAGGCCAACTTGAGACCAGCCTAAGAAACACAGTGAGACCTAGTCTTGACAAAAATTAAAATTAGCCAGGTCGATGGTACACATCTGTAATCCCAGCTACCAGGAGGCTGAGGCTGGAAGACCACTGGAGCCTAGGAATTCAAGGCTACAGTGAGCTATGATTGTTCCACTGCACTCCAGCAATTAAAAAAAAAAAAAGAGGCAGGACCAGAATCAGAATCCAAGACTCCTGCTTCCTACATCAGTTCTTTATCTCTGAACTTCAGGAACATGAAACTTATCTCCTATTTGGTTTCCTACTTCCGCTTTAGAAGCCTCGGCAACAATACCTAAGAATCACTTGGGAATTTTAAGTGCTAAGTAAGTATTGAGTATTTCTTTTGAAGGACACACACATTTTAATAACAAAAAGATATTGAGTGCTGTGCAAAAGTTGTACCTTGCCAGAGAGGAAGCAGTAAGGTTGATTCTGGCTGACCAGCATCACTAAGAGCTAGACCTAGACAGAGCTTAACCACTTAAGGAACTAGGCAACACCTCCCCCTAGTGCCAAAAGGAACACATTATTAGCTTTAAATCACACCCGAAACACAAACCAGAGCACTCCAAGTTTTACATCAGCCACGGTAAGTCAAGACAAAATGAAAGGCTTAGGAAACAAAAGGTAAAACTATATCTAGGGCCTCACAGATACTGGAGGCCTCGTAAAGCCGTAATTCTGGTGAATCACAACTTGCCTGCCATTGTAGTCAGTTAAAAATTCGGGCGCGGTGGCTCAAGCCTGTAATCCCAGCACTTTGGGAGGCCGAGGCGGGTGGATCACAAGGTCAAGAGATCGAGACCATCCTGGTCAACATGGTGAAACCCCGTCTCTACTAAAACTACAAAAAATTAGCTGGGCATGGTGGCACGTGCCTGTAATCCCAGCTACATAGGAGGCTGAGGCAGGAGAATTGCCTGAACCCAGGAGGCGGAGGTTGCGGTGAGCCGAGATCGCGCCATTGCACTCCAGCCTGGGTAACAAGAGCGAAACTCCGTCTCAAAAAAAAAAAAAAAAAAAAAAAAATTTTTAGTATCAGTTAGGAACCTATCCCCAGAAAAATGCTAAGCTGAAGGAAAGAAACAAGGAACAGTGGGAGGGAGAGAAGAAAACCCCCAAGCAAGCCTTATTCTCAACTGTTTGTTTTCTTTCCTTCCTTCCTTCCTTCCTTCCTTCCTTCCTTCCTTCCTCCCTCCCTCCCTCCCTCGCTCCTTTCTTTCTTTCTTGACAGAGTCTTGCTCTGTCACCTAGGTTGCCAGGCTGGAGGGCAGTGGCACATTCTCAGCTCACTGCAACCTCTGCTTCTTGGGCTCAAGTGAGCCTTCTTCTGCCTCAGTCTCCCAAGTAGCTGGAATTACAGGTGTGTGCCACCATGCTCAGCTAATTTTTGTATTTTTAGTAGAGACGGGGCTTTTCCATGTTGGCCAGGCTGCCCTCGAACTCCTAGCCTCAAGTGATCCACCTGGCTTGGCCTCCCAAAGTGCTGAGATTATAGACATGAGCCACTGTGCCCTGCTTCTACTGTTTTCAAAGCTATTTTTACTAATAACAAAGGATGAATGACTATGGTCTTGTTTCAGCCTGAAATAACAAAAAGTTAGTGAAAAGATTAGTGCTAAACACTTATTCAAGTTCATTTGCTACTTAAGAGACAGGCATCGCATTTCATTACTGATAATAAACTGTAAGCGCTGAATAAATTTGGAAAATTTATAGACGTAACATTAAAGATTTATTGAACATTCTTGTATCATATAAAGTAACTTCCTGATATAAAACCTATAAGAATATATATCCAAACCACTTGGTTAATATGACACCACTTAAAGTGGAACATGGAGGTTCACGAGACGTTCTCAAGAACACACTTACCAAATATGAGACTGAACCTAAATTTTGCATGTCAGGGAAGAACAGACAATGGCATCAGAGAAACTAGACATACTTGAAGATGGCCTTTTCTTTTTAACAGGTTGGAATACTGCTAACTGAATGAATATAATCTTGTTTCTAACTCTTTGCTGGTTATTTAGCTATGAAATCAGGTACATGTGAAAGTTTCTACCATTTGGAAGTATTTTTCTTAAATTCCTATCCCAACAATCTTCTCTCATGGTTACAAACCATAGAACATCACAATTCCATGGGAAGGAGCACATTCATCCTGCTGTAACACAACTGCATCCCTACTGTTTCATGGCACACATAGAAAAAGCTATCATTTGTCAGGTCTGCTGGGACAAGCAGAGAAGGCTGCTGATGGCTAGTCAGTCAGGATCCCCCAGTCATCACAGGCCTGCCTGAACTGCCCAAGGGCTGAACAGGTAATATCTTGCCACACCTATTACTTCTTCATTTACACCAAATGGGAAACTCTGACATACATAGCTCATCTTCGTTTCTTCCTGAGCCTTCTGACACTTGTAAACATAGCTTCACATACTTGGCAATACATCATCAAAACCTACAAGTTGTAAAAATTATAACCCAGATAAAGGAGGCTCGCTAACTTTCCACTGAAAAGCAAGAGGGAAAAAGGTCCCTCACCAAAACTTAAGGGGGTACAGGAAGATAGCTATGGGTAGTTTAGGTGCCACAAACCCAGTCATATGCCCCCATGAAACTCTGCCTACCTGGGTCTTAGTGTTTTGGCTGTCTACCTTTAGGCCTGCATCATGCACTCAGGGCCTTACTCTCACTTTTTCAAATGGATATATAATTTTACATTTTTGCTTCAAAGGAAATACTTAAAAACTATGCATTTGATGAACATTCTAGGATAACATTGACAACCATAGAAAGAAATGTGACAGGTAATTCAGTAATCCAGATACTTACCAATCTTTCTGAGATATGTTCTTATTATAAATATGCCCAGAATTTTCTTTATAGGGAGGGCAGATACATTTACATCTGACATCCTCGAAATTCTGTAACCAAAATGGAAACAGTATAGCGTGTTGACAGTTCATCAATATTTTTTAAAACTGTGCCGTATACATTTTGCCAAGCATCTTCTACAAAATATTCTAAAATCATTCATTTAAAACTTTAACTTTGACAGATACAAGTTTTTAAAAGCCACAGTCCTTTATGGTAATGCAAATGAATCATTATATATTACATGTAGTTATTTTGAAATAATAATACATGATCTAAGACTTATTAACCATATTTATGGGTCACATGACAATCAAATTATGCTAATGTTATTAACATTTACCTGCCACTAAAAAGACACATAGTAAACAGATAGTTGTGCCTGTAAATAAGAAATGTTCATTACTAAAGGCTGGGAAAGAAACTAAAAATGATTCATAAAAAAGTCACAATTCTTCTACGTATCATCCTTTCACCCCTTGGTAAAAGGCACTGACATGGATAAAAGGGGTTGGTTGGGCCAGAGTCCCATAGAAGGGATGAAATGTTAAAGGTACCCAGCTACAACTAGAAAGGAAGTGCACACAGGAAGTAACCTGACTGTAACTGAGATCAGTTTGGTGTATGTTCCCAGGAAACCTTGCTTCTAATTCCAGGTTGACAGAACAACTACCAACAAAACAAGTTTCAAGAGGTGGAGGAACAGGTGACTAAGTATCTGGATAGAGAAAAGAGGAGATGCTTCCTCAGCAAAGGGGAATGCAGTTGAGAAGGAAGTGGCTCATCAGTCCCCAGAGGACCTTGCCCACTCCTCCTACATACAGTGATACTTCAGGCAGAGCTACTGACAATTCACAAATGTATTCAGCAACCAGTTAGTGAGCATTTGCTCTGTGTTAGATCTTGTGCTCAATGAGGTGGATTCAGATAAGCATAAGACATGGTTTCTGCTGATAATCAGGACACACCCTAGTAAAGGAGACTGACAAATAAATACATGATCACAATATATAGTTATGAGGCAAGATATGCAGAGGGTGCCAGCAATGTTTTGAAAGTCAGATATGCTGCTCTCCCTGTTTCTGGTAGGAGGTAGAGAAGGTTTCAAAAAGAATCTCTGAATCAAAAACATTTGCCTGCCTGTAATCTTTCCCCACTCCTACATTTAAAGGAATTAGAAATTAAAGCTCTTAACAATGCAGTATCATTCTGTTTTCCTATCATACTAATGTGAATCCCTTCTGTTTACCCCAATGATGAGCTAGCTCATCAATGAGGAAGCACAGGTATGCATGGAGCCAGGGCAGGTCTGGAGAGCTGGGGCACCAGCGAACAGCATAAAGAGACTAGAAGGTCAAGAAATCAAACCAGGGAGGCCACACCCTCACCTCTCTTGCAGTTTAGTTCTTCCCTTACCCACTAAATTATCAGAAAGAGAGAAGGCAAGAAAGGGACCGAGGGGCTCCTGGAGGGAGTTAGGTGAGAATATGAAGCAGCTGAGAGATGCTCCGTAGGTGCAATTGGGAGGAAAGCAGGCCAGGCGGGGCAAGTTCCCACCACAGGAAGGGAGGTGTTAGGGGTGAGCTGAGCCGAGGTGGTCCTTGACAGGGAAGCCCTCTGTCAGATGAATGCTTCCTATCATTCTAACTTGGGGCATGAGGGGCCTGTGAGGCCGGCGGAGGGCGCGGGTGGGCTGTCAGAGCATAAGGTGGGCAGCTAAAGGCTCTAGGAAGTGAAAAGGTTGTCAAGTGAAAGGAGCGTGCGGCCGGGGCTGGGAAGGCAAACGACAAGGTGGGGAGGGGCTGTTGTCCGGACTGTGGGCACCGTCGGGGCTGTGGACGGCTGTGGGACGCTGACTGCCAGGCAGCCGGGGCTGAGGGCCAGAGTGCCGCTGGGCGGTCGGGAGTGTGGGGCTGTGAGGCTAGGGGTCTGGCTGTCAGGACTGTGCTGCCAGCAGGTTGGCAGACTCAGTTTCCGCAAGGCCGGTGGCAGGGGAGGAGCTTCCGTTAGGAGCGAGACTGGGCGGGACTCACCTTGGCGGCGTCTGACAGCTGCGCCAGCAAGAGCACGAACAGCGCCAGGCATGACAAACTAAGCAAGGAGCCAAGCCTAAGGAGGCCTCCCCATAGGGTCGCCATCGCTGGGGGCCCGGCGGTCCCCCAGCTTGGAGCCCCCGCGACCGGCTCCCGGCTCCCGGCTCTGGCTCAGGCTCGGGACCCAGCTGAGGATCCTCCGCCCTCGCTTCCGCTTGGACGCGAAGGCGTCACCGGGCGCGCTGGTTCAGATGCAAAAAGCATCCGCCCCGGAAACGGTTCACCGTGCGAAGGGCCCGGAGGCTGCGCGGTCCCGGCGCCCGGCCCTGCCTCCCCTCGGCACTGGGAAGGAAGGGGACTTCTAGGGTGGCAGCCTGGGCCCAGTAGAGCTTTGCAGCTCCTGGATATCCTCCCCGGGCGCAGAAGCTGCGGGTATATGGAGTCGCCATTGCTCTGGAAAAGTCCTCTCGGCACGGAGACCCCAGTAAACTCCGGGTGTCACACAGGGTCTCCGGCTGCCCATGCGGGCCGGAGCTGTTCGCGCACAGGCAGGGCGGGTGCTGAGCGTTGAAACGGGACTGGAACTGGCCGAGCCATGCTTTTCTGGGAAGCCCACCCCCAGTCAGAGGGTTGGGGGTGGTCCCTGCACCTTAGGTACTAACCTGCTGCCCACTCGCCTCCTGGACACAGTACCCCGTCGGCTTTCTAAGTCAGTGAGCTGCCCTCGTGGGTGTGGCCTCCCCTTGGAGCTCTCCGCTTGCCTCCCCTAGGTCCAGCCTGCAGCTAGGAAGTGGGTCACAGCGATGAGGCTAGGCTGGGCCGGGCCAGGCTCCGGGAGATAGGGAATTGGCGAAAGAACTCCTCCAGCAGTATACTCCGCCTAGAACTCCTGGAGGTGGCGAATTGGGCGCTGCGCCCCGGTAAGGCAGTGCCTGTTCAGGGCTGCCAACTAGTCTCCCCAGAGCCGTCCTTCTCAGCAAGTACTTTAGGAGTACTTTAGCACAGTCTCCCACTGAAGTATTTTTTTAGTAGAGACAATGGAGATAGTGGCAAGGATGCAGGGATCATCACAGCCTCTAGGGATTTATTAAATGACCTTAGGCCAATCACTTCCCTTCTCTGGGCCTGTAGTTTTTGGCTCAATATGAGGGAATGGATTTCAATTTATGCTCCATGTAATACCCGTGTTTTAATCTCTAAACAGATTTTTTTAAAGATGGTCTTTTTCTAATTTCTGGAAATGTTTTAACAGAATGTTCTATTTTTCGCCCGTGTGATTCTTAGATTCGTGTGAATCTAACACAAGAAGGTGTCTGATATTGTTCTCAATAGGAAGCAGAGCGGCAGGGTTAGATGTCCTCTCACCAGACTGCCCTGTGAAGGTGCTGTTACATTGATGAATGGTCAAGGCTTTGTAGTGGGTGTTCTACTGGCCAGAAGACAAACTGGAGACTCCCTGGGTTAAATGTGTCAGTGAGGCACTGGATCTGATTGCTAAAAGGTGATTCAGCTGCAAGTTAGGGGTCAGTTTAGGGTTGTCTAGACTTGGCATCTAAAGGGAGTCCCTGCCGTATGACACCTTATAGGCCTTCTCTTCTGAATTTTTTCAAGGCGGTGGGCGGGAGGTACTGAGGCTTAGAGAAAATACATAGTTGTGTGTCAGTCTGACGGGCCTCATCTGTTTAATGGAGAAACACCACGCACACTCAATCTGGGCAGAATTTTAGAGCTGCATGGTATAACTACTAGCTAGCTACATGTGGCAGTTGAGCATTTGAAATGTGGCTAGACTGAATTGAAATGTGCTGTGTAAAATATACAGCATATTTCAAAGACAATATTTAATTTCAAAGACAATATTTTTAAAATGAAAAATATTTCAATAATTTTATGGTTTAAATATTTTAGATATATTAGGTTAAATAAAATATATTAGTAAAATATTTCACCTGTTTTTTAACCTCTTAAATGTGGCCAATATAAAATGTTATAGTGCTGTTAGGTAGTGCTGTTCTCGAATACAGAATGTGGCTGCCATGAGTGGAGTGTGACTGCGAGATAGTTGCCTGACTGGAGACAATGAAGGCTTAGGCCCAGGTAAGGAGCGGCCTGACAAGGAAGAACTGGCACAGCTGCTACAGCTGAACGTTTGGGGGAAGTATATGTCTGCCAAAAAATGAATGTAATTTCAGGTGACTCAACAGACTGGAGGGGGTCAGTTTCTCTTGTTCTGCCCTGCTCATATCTAGATAACCCTCACTTTTCCTTTAGGTCAGGAGTCTTCTAAGCCAGAAAACCTTCCCTAAGTGCACTCCTTTCTATGTTTGCATAGATCTCTTAACTTTACCCCATTGTGATAAAATTAAGTTTTCACATTTGCCTTTATACTCCAGCCTCCACCAAAATATTGTGAGTTCTCTGAGGGTAAGGACTTTGTCTTATTATTGTTAATACCTGGAGACAGATTAATATGATGTTTGTAGGGACCAGGGAAAAGGTGAATAGGACAGGCTCCTCTGGTTAGTCTAAAAGAAAAGTATCTAGCACCTACTTGAATCCTTATTTGATTTCTTTCTGACCATGAGAGGGGATGCTGAGATGCCCAAAGATGTGCACATGGGAGTTGTTCTGTTTATAGACAGCACTGGCCTTAGTACCCACTCTTCTCCCTCTCTTTTCCTTGCTTCCTTGTAACTAAGTTTCCCTACTCCCTTCCTCGAAATGAGTGATATAGGTCCAGGTGTAACCTCCCACCTGGCCTGGGTCCTCTCACTTCTTTGTAAGGCCTGAAAAATTCCCTGGTGGGGCATGGTTAGAAAAGGAAGAGGAACCTTTTTTATAAGTGTGGAAGTCACAAAGGGAGGGAGCAAAGTGACAATTTATGTATCTGGGACAAATATATCTTGGACCAAGGTTTTGCCATCTGTCTGCATCCCCCCATGCCCTTTCCCCTCCAGTGATCACATAGCTCTCTGGATGCCCCTTATTCTTCCACCCCACCCATTCTGATCTACCCAGCACTTACCCAGGCAATACCAGTCCAGGAGAACAAATGGAGTTATGCACAGCATCGGTGATCTCATTGTATTGTGCCTCCAGTGATTATGACTAGGGACACACATACACACATCCTTCCAGTTATTTCTGGGCATTCCCTGGAAAGGTCTTATGAGCCCTTTTCTTTATTGTGTGCACCCGCTAGGATGCTCCCTCCTACTCAGCCCTGTTTAGTGGGATTTTTCAGTCTATTGCTGCGTATAAAGCCACCGAAGTGCATCACTTGCTGGTGTTCACCACGATAACAACAATGTATGGGGACAGAATATTATGTTTCTAGAGCTACTGGTACCACTACTGCTGACAAGTTACTGGGGTCCCTAAAATAACAAAACACCACAGTGCAGGTCAGTACTAGAGTGGGGAGAATTTTTAGTTCCTTTTAGAGGTGCCAATCAGTATTGTTGATTTCCCAGTATCTTAGAATACTTAATGAAAACAGGCCCAGTGTGGTGGCTCACACCTGTAATCCCAGCACTTTGGGAGGCCAAGACAGGTGGATCACCTGAGGTCAGAAGTTCAAGAACAGCCTGGCCAACATGGTGAAACCCATCTC